TTCTAAGTCAACGAGATTATCCCCTGGTAACAAGTCAATGCCTGAGTCGCTGAAGTGAGTTAGGGTTAAGTCCATTAGTACATTTACGTTGAGGTTGAATAGAAATGGGCATAATGGACATCCTTGACGGGCGCCACTAGTCGTCACCACTTTAGATGACAACTCGCCGTACTTCAAACACGACTTGTCAGCTAACTTGCCTCCTATAACCCTATAGAATACCGCCCGTTTTGTTGGAATTTTCCGCTTAGTTGTTGCATCACACATAAACTCAATAGTAGATGGGATCCAGTTCACCTTCAAGCTAATAGGTGAACAAGGTGAACTAACTATACGAGGTTGTAAAACTAACATTTCTAAAATTTAATTATCACATTCTAATAAGTGCTTAGACTGTTACTTAATCCAACCTAAATTCCGTTTAGGTAGGGTTTTGCTGAATTCCGGTCAATGCAATTGAGACAGGAGTTCAATCAGTAAGTGTATCAGTAAATGTAAGTAATGTAATCGAACAAATAAGGAAAATATTACTAATGAATAACACTAACTATCCCACCAGAATTCAATCAATAATGTATTGAGACCCAGAAGAAAAATAAAGGAAGTAGTAATGTGAATAATGAATATAATATCAATAATAGATAACTATCAAAGCGCTTCCACACTACTACTATATGGGGAGGAAACATCTCAGAGGCTGGAAGTAGGATGGCATTAAAGCCAACTAACTCACTCTGAGACAAACTTTGTCCACAAACTGTTCTAAGCCATCCAGGACTCTTTTGTTACGTTATATAGGGCAAAGCACAACTCTTATCTACAGTTCACTGGTTGAAAGTCCACCACTTAATCACTCACTCCTAAGGTACTACTACAATGACATCGATCAAATTCTATTTTGTCTCCCAAATGTATGTGCAAATGTGATTAATCCAAATTCCATCCCAGATACTGAGTGACTCAGTTTTCAACATAGAAATTGCACAGAAGTACAGCAGAACAATTTACTGCATATCATATAGCACACAGTGATTGTAAAAACAATTCCGAAGACATATAATGAACAAAAATGTACGGGAGAGAGAATAACTACACGAAGAACCATGAGGCTTTAATAGGTCTGGAAGATTACTTACTTACTTTACTTTACTTCGGCTATCTCCTACGGGAGGATGAGCCGGCTTCATGAACATCTCGAGTCATCGCTGCCCAGGCGCGGCGATCCGTTTGTAAGAGTTCATGAAGTTTCATGGGAATTTGATACGAGCGATTTCCCCAGAATCGCTCGGCCTTTTGTTTGAGAGTGCAGCTCTAGCCTTTACACAACCAAGTGTGACCTACAAGGCAGTAGGAGTGGAGTAGGGAGTCCACTATCCATTGGCAGCCGGTGACCGGAGTTCGGTTCATACGCCTTTTTTGAATGGGACCAGACATCCAGGACATCCAACAAGCCCTTTGTCCACACGTCTCCCGGTGAGCTTCATACGCCAGTCGTTGTAGGTTTGGAATCAGGGTTTAGCCATCTCCCCTAGACTGTCATCCAATGGACAGTCAACCCGGTGAAGAGCGCCGGGCATCCGCTGGAAGATTACCACGGGTGAATGAATCTGCTCACTAGCAACGATTCCGAGCCATATCACCAACACTTTCAAGTCAACCAAGAAGTCTGCTACACCTCTCCTTATGTAACCGACTCAAACGAACAGTCAAAGACTTCATTAGTTTATATCGTATCTTGGTGTACGCAACTTTATGGAATATTAGAATGTTCTGATTTAACCACCGTTAACTCTTTTACAATCCAGTTTTATGTTGTTCATCGAAGAAGGCGATAACTCAGTATGCATAACACCTATCACAGTCATCAGAGTCAATGCGGCTTTATAACCTTTCCAAACGACTGACTATCCCTCATCAGCTAACTCTCTACACATAACCTCAATATTAAACACCACTACCACTATACTAAGCAGAACGCGAACGTCTACATTCAAAGACAGCTAGACATCATTACCACCAATATTATTTCTACGATTTTATCAGATATTGTGAAAGGAGTATCACTCTGAACAGTGAGGGTAGGAGTTTCTGAGATTATCAAAACCTATGTCACTGAATGGGTCACCGAGGCGTAATCAGTGCCGAGTGTTTAGTTCTTCATAATAGTGACTCACTGAATACTATCATAGTCATGTCTTCAATGTTAATATCATTATTTCCTTGGGTTGAGGGTGGAACATGGGGCTTTAACAGCACACCTCCACATTTACCCCTTCTCTGTGGCTCTTTTAACCGGTTCCACGATTGTCCATAAGCTCTCACCTCATCCTCACAAGATCTCCATGTCACCATCGGATGCCCAAGCCACATTTTCCATTCGGGTTCCACTCCGGGATCTGGAGCACAATGTCATTCAACGGTCTCCATCTCTGTTCCCTTTGGCATATTTGTTGAGCACAATAAAGTCACACCGAAACAGATGATTCACTATCGAGGTACACTTCCACATTACTGCTAATTAAATGGTTGGAGGTAATCAGCAGGAAGTTCTACGCTTCGTGCTTACTGACACTCATCAGCCGACTGAAAACATCCCTAACTGCAGCACTAGCTACTGCAGCTTCGAGTCCCTGAGTTAACACATCAGTTCACTAGATTAGCTTTGTTGACTGACGAATGCCAAAAAGCACAAAGCCTAGATCCAGGGTTTCCTGCCAACTTCAACTTAGATCACAAAATGACATTAGTCAGAGAACCACCGAAAACGATGGACTGCGAGACAGCTGCCTTGTCCTCCTAGTTTGAGGCTACTCAGCAGTACGCACTCATGACACAAAACTTTCAAGTTATAAGGCTAGGAAAGGCAATCAATCATTCACTCACAGCGAGGGAATCCAATGATCAGCCAATTCGTCATACATAAAACGCCCATCCCAAGCCAATGATGTTGTCCGTAAGTGTCTGTGATAGACCTCAATGGTCACTAATTCTCTCTACAATCCCAGGCTACTTCATCTTATAACCATGTAAACACCCCAGTATCCATCATAAAACAAAATATGTCTTTGTTAGAAAACAACAAAGGAAATAAGAGCCAATAAAAAAATATCACTTACCGTACTAAATTCTTTAATATCTCAACAATTGCTGAGCAAACAGTTTTCATACTATTAATAGCAGTGCTGGAACAATCATCATCACCATCATCTAGATCATCTAAGTATGTACGGTCTTTACCCCGCTCTGCTTTATTCCTTTCTAATAATTCTTCAACTGATTCACGATAAATATCAGCTAAACCACGAAGAACTCGAGGTATATCAATACCAGTCATTCGAGAACCAACAGCTGCAGCAGCAGAAGAAGGAGAAGAAGAAGTACACGAAGACGACGACAAAGAATGACAAGAAGAAGAACAAGAAGAGGTGTCGGAGTCCTCATTCTTCTCAAGTCGACATTTTATATGATGATAACAATCCGCATATATACGTAACAAATTAATTATGAATAGATGTGAATGTTCTGGATAGGGAGACAAGTGATTAACAATCCAAAATGATACATCAACAATTTGAGGGATTAATCTGAACCATAAACCGAATAATTCATAATCAATGATACGATAAAGTGTTGAACAAGAACGAAATCCAATATTCCACCATGATAGTAATATTAAACATGATACCGACTCCATATAATGTGGTTCTAGACTCGTTTTAGTAAGAAATGTATATTTAAGGAATTCTTCAAAGAAGAATATCAATGACTTGACATCACTTCCGTGAATATTAGGAGGATTTTTCTACAAGAGAAGGCAGAAAATAAAAATGAGGCGCGTTGGAGCAAGGAAAAATCTTGTTAGTCACATAAACATATGTAGAAAATTATTATTATTATTATACTTTCATTCCAAACAATAATTCTCTAAAATTTACATCAGTTAGAGAATCATTGAAAACCACGCACCAATAGACTTTTCATAGGTACGCACAACTATGACCCTACCACTGGAGACTGAGCCACTGAGAACCTTCAGGCTATCAGACAAGTCCAGTGACGATTCAACCGTTCATGAATTCTAACTTCTGTCGATTCGTGGTATATAGCGTCACCGCCATATAATGCTACCGGAGACTATCTGTTCTCATAGTTAATTTTCGGTAGATCCTTACACGGCTGACGACTTTCCGCGAAAAACTATAAAATCCCATCCTACAGTTAACCACTAGTGAGCTGTGAATTGATCCTCTACTGCTGGTAGGCTCCAACAAGTTGGCTGTAAAGGCTGATACTCACTGATATCATTGCAAAAGTTAGAATTTAACTCCAACGACTGTATAGTCCAGCGGGATAGTCTCAGTCTGTTGGAGAGTCCCACACTACTACTCTGTAGATCTTAGTGATTCTCCACCTGATGTATTCGCTTCTGACGAAATCGCTACAACGTAACTTTTAAAAATAAACGAAATATATGCCGATTAACATCCAACTCTTTTAAATAATTACAGAAACTCACTGACCGTATACTCCATGCTCAACTAAACCACATATACCTACACATTTTTATTCGCTGAGGTAGTAATATAGACTAAAGTTAGGACGATAAGGGGGAGATAAGCATGGCTTATGCACAAGGAATGAAAACCAAACTTGTAAAACTCTCCACAATTTCATTTGTATCGGTGGTCCTACGGTAGCATGCTTGCCAAACACACTAGTGGTTCGACTTCGATTCCCGGCCTCCGACGCACTCCTAAACCTTGTTCAGTTTACCAACCGTTAGTAGGTCCTGATCGCTGAACGTTAGGTTAGAGACCTCATCCCCCAAAAATTAAAAACACTGCAGCTACTGACTTTTCAAAGCCAAAAGCCTCAAGACTTGTACTTGACTCCGAATGCAAAGGAATGAGGAAAAGACTCTTTACTAATTTCGAAACTAAACAATAGTCAATCAAGTTTTAAAAATCATATTTCTCTTTTCGTATAACTAATCAACTTACTGTAAACCAAACATGAAAACATTTCAATCGACTAAAACATTGAAATAAGTGCTTTTTTTCTACTTCAACAGATTCAACAGGAATTGGATCATCGTTATCAATTGGCATCATATTGAAAAGATTCCATATATATACGAAATAATCCAGAGATGTAATCCCCGTCGCATTTTCATTAAAGCCATCAACACATGCAGCTAACATAAAATCTGCCTGTCTATCTTCACAGTTCGATTCATCTTCTTTCTAAATTCATACACTTGAATTGTGATAAAGGTAACATACCTCCTCATCTTTTAAAAACTGCAGAGCATTTAAAAAACTGCGTTCCATGGGTGTAGATGTTATTACTAAATGTAATCCGGGAAAAACAAAATGAATTATTTATTTATTGATTTATTTAAGCACAAACTAGGTATTATATGGATACCAAGAGTTGTACTACACAAAAAATAATAATAAAAGCAGCCTGTTTTTACCCCCAAAAAGGGACACGTTGGGAGTGAGGTTAGCGAGAAGGCAATCCAAATGCTATAGAAACTTAAAATCAATAAATAAACTTATTCCCCACTGGAATCGGAAAGACGAAATGACACGGGATGATGTGAGAGCTTTAAGGAAGACTATCAGCTGATGTCTCCTGTAGACGAAAAGAAAAGTAATCATGAGCACAAACAATGTCCGCACGACGGTTGATTGGAAGGCAGCTCATGTTGCATAGCTAATGAGATGTGGTTTAGAAGTACTGGGAATCTATGAGAGTAGGTAGAACGTAAGTGGGCTCTTCAAGTTAGTGACTAGAGTCAATAACCAATCAGACGATGATCATAATTGCGCTGAGCGAGTGGATATCGTGACGTCATAAATAGTATCGAAAGCTCTTATGTAGTGGGAATCAATCTCCTCTAGGATAACAACACCAAGATTCAAGTCAAAATGTAGGAAACTTAAAATTACCCCCATCTTACGCTCTTATAAACAACGCAGACCAAGTAGAGAAGAACATTCCTACACATTATTGCAAACAGATAGTGACATCAAAATCCTAATGGGTGGTAGAAATGTTAACGGAACTGAGATGACATGATACAGGAAAGGGATGTATTATGGGTCGACAGGCACTCTCCGAAATGAATGAGAACGGAGAATTCTTTGAGAATTTCTGAGCCTTCAGTGATTTGGTGATTGGACATAGTGTAAGGTAATTTGGAAACTGCCATAAGACAACGGAGTACCCCAAACCCAAATAGACGACCTCACCCAACAGCTATACGATGATGCCACATGAAAAGTGATTCGCAACGGAAATCTCAGGAAAAACTTTGGAATGAAGCAAGGAATGAATAAGACAAGGTTGTCGTATTATGACCAATGGTCTTTTTGATTGTGGCCGATTGTACAACAGTTCAAGGGGAGGGGGGAACGGGCATACGACACACCAGGAAGGAGACTCTACAAGTTATTGACTTCGTTATTAATTACTGTCACACAAACTCGAAGGTCTACATGAGTAAGTCAATAAATCGTCAGAAGAAGCCGAAAAGACACGACTTCAAGTGAACATAGAGATAATACAGATTATTAAGATGCACGACAACCTACAACGACAAGCATTAATCACCATTGTTAATAGGGTATATCTGAAGGAATTCATCTCTACCTAAATACGCAGGCAGCATCGTTTCGACTAAAGTCGGCGGTGCGAATGAGGACATCAAAGTTATTCAAGATCGAGAAATCAAAACAAACATTATCCTTTTAAACAGAAAAATTGGGTAAGCATTTTGAAGGTGTGAAGCCTGTTTTATTTTAGAAACCTTTTGTCTACCTTTCAACCGACAAAAATTGCCTATCTGTCATACGCTCTACTTACTTAACCTATGTACATTTGCCTACTGGGAGTCCAGTTGCATAACTGTGGGTGAGCCTATAGAACGTACCTTATTCAAAAATATAATCCACTTACCCAAATTCCTGAGAATTTTATATGAATCTGCCACCAGATTGCTAAACGGAAATCGTAACACTCATCAAGAGTCAAAAAACACGTGCCAACTGAAAATAACGGCAGTCAATTTCGTCTTGGCGCCTCACTGGCCTACTCCAATCAAAGGTGGACAAAGTCAGATTCTAGGTCACCATGTGTTATCGCGTTGGCTTTTTGAAAAAGATGTGACAGTTTTATGGAACTTATTACCTGACTCATTGGTTCAAGTATATTTGATAATGTTTTCACTTAATTTTCTATTACTAACAATGCTGCTTTTAATGATCAGATATAGTTTCAATGCCTTTGGTTTGAACAAATATCCGACATCATCAAAATGCCACAAACAGTCTCCAGGCTGAAGAAGCAGATTTCTCCGTGATAAATAGACAGCGTGCTTTGAGGATCGATATTTGGTTTGTAGGTAAATCAGAGTGGCTTTATTGCATATCCCTGTTAATTGTAGCGTTAATATCCGTTGCTATTTTGGTTTGGTAACAAGTTATGCTTTTTATATGCTTTTTAAGCGAAATTTTGCATTAAAGACTTTCCTGACGTACATAATATCGGCGGCATAATGTATTCGGACCGCGTTACATTCCCTGCACTTGTATCACTAAATTTCGCTTGATACTGAAATCTGCGCAATGTGACGGATTATATAAGGTAGGATATTCAAAATTTGTCTTGATTTTTTTATTACAGCCTGATTCCACACAGTACTTCTGGTAGAAGTATGGAATTTTCAGCATGTGATATCGGTAGCCCAAATTTTGCAGGCCAACCATTGATATCGGGTGTGCGTTGGCAGCGAATCGAACCCCGGACCATGTGCATGATCGGCGAGAGTCTTAACCCTTGTGCTACCGACGCACAGGTATCTTTTTGAACTTTCATGGAATTAAACTGGTATATTCAGCCTATTTATTGAGACGCTGTTGTCTTAATTGGTTTCGTAGTTGTCGGTACCCATAGCTCAATTTCAGCATTAATTTCAGTTTCCATGTGCTCATAACACTTAGCTTTTCATCTTACGACTAAAAACATTATCACCATGGTCATAACATTTCACATTGTGTTTCAAGTGGCCTTTATTTTGATGGAAGATTTAATTGCTACAATATCCCGATTTCATAGACATAACTTATAGGGGAAAGAAACTTATTATCGTAGTTGGAATAAGAACAAGTTGTTCAGAAGGTAAGGAAGACTTTATTTTTCAGTTTATCCATATAAATACTATTGCGCATCGAATTGTACTGCAGTGATACATGAAGCAAAACACTATGAATGTCTTGCCCTCTCTCCTTTATAAGAGAGTGAATTACTTTACAAGACTCTCCATATTAAGTTCAGTAGGGACGAATAGAAGCTTTTCCACTTCAATGTCATGAGTTAATTTGTGAACTATGTAGGCTTTTACAGTAATACATTTGTCAAGGAGACTTCACTTTGAAATCAAAAGCGTACAAGTTTTATTAAATCCTATGATATTTTATATTTCTTATAAACTGGTGTTTACGAGTAATGCATTCCATTTTTACAGGCACGATCGTTTATCTTATAAATTGGAATCGTGAGGTACCATGAACTGATACTTTTTTAAATGTTTAAATTTTTCAACTATTGTACAAGCGATCAGAACAGGATTTGATAAATGCTAAATTTCTAATCCTTTGCCGTCGAAGTTGAGCGACAACTCAAACTTCCCTCCGTTTCCTGGTGATAGTTATGGTCAACCCATGGACAACATATATTTCAGTATGTGCTATGCGCCAACGTGATTAAAAGCTATTCAGCAAGAGAAGAGTATCCTCGGAAACTTCGGAAAGGCACAAAATGCAATTATGCATAATGCACTGTTGAGAGGATATTTACAAGACATATACAAGAGGAAGGTGGAGACTCCTTGGAATGATGGTATACATTTGCAATGTTTAGTGCTATGCATACTGGTCTTATCATTGAAACCACGGCGTTTTTGATGAAAATATTATCATTCTCAGACATTGGTGTCGTTGTTATATTTCGTTTTGTTCATCAAAGCATACAGACCATAAGCGAGCGACGAATGTGAATGAAAATATGGAGTTTTATCTCTGATAAAGGCCGAGGAAGTTACGATGAAATACAGTATAGTAGTGCGTGAATAAAAAGATTATCATAAGGTAGATATGTGATATTTCAGTGATTTGGTCGTTCGATCACTGCGCAGATAGTGGTTAAAAGGTTTCAAAAAGTAAAAGGTATGGGAGTTTTGAGCAGTAGAGCATATTATGTCATAATCTACTGAGTAGAGTGAAACGAATAGTGGTACGATTGAGGTCAAAGGCAGGTAGAATGAACGAGAGGAAAATAGTTGGTTGGCTGGGCTTATTATTATTATTGTATCCTTTAATTCCTACAGGAACATAGGGCTTCAGCCGTGCGTCTCCATTGCGTTCTGTTCTCTGCTAGAGTCTTCACCTTCTCCATGCCCGCCCACAAGTTTTCATCTTCTCTTCACATGACCTCCTCCGAGTCACCCTTGGGCGACCAACTCGCTGCTTCCCTTTCGGGTTCCACTCGAGCACTGGCTTGTCTAGTGATGTCACTTGATGGTTTCCTAAGAGTATGTCCAATCCAATTATAGGTCCATTTAATGTATAAGCTTAAATACTACACCTGTTGTTTTTTGCCTATATTTATAATTCTAGATAAAACATTAACGGTTAACATACGTATCCTCAAACAGACAACAAATCTCGTTTGTAAAACTACTACCCAACACAATAAGTGGAATAAAACGGACATAAACCGACAACATGAAAAAGGTATAACTCACCACAACATCACAAGGACAGATGAACGCTCGTTGGGTACCATATATTCCTCACCAACTGCAACCCACCTTTCCTTAGATAATGTGATGAACTTATACCCATAATGTTGCTGAGCAGTCAATATTCTCAACTCCTGTCGGAACAGCTGAAACTCATAAACCTTCCTAACGCTAAGAAAATACCCGTAATCAGTAGAAATCCATTAATTAATGCGTCCGAAGCTTATGTACTTACTCCCAACAATGACATTGCAGATCAAATGAGATAAACACATCACTGATTTCAAAATAACACATCAATGAACTATAATTCGAGGACTCTGCACACAACAAAGTTATGTATGAATATTTACTTCAAGCTTTATTTTTTTCCCAGGCACTTATAATCCATCCACCAAAGACCTGGTTTTTTTGTTAATGCGAAGACAATACTCCTGTATTTCCTGTTGTGTTGCACTCACTGACAATCTAGCAGATTTTTCCAACTTTGCACAGAAATGATTGTATATAAGTGAAAAGGCTGTTTTATACTACTGGAATTAACATTTATCAAGTGTATGTATAATCTCTATCGAACATGTAAAGCATATCTTGCTACCGGCTGTAAATTGTGATTAAATTATATGGTTCTATTTCTGTAACAATTTGATGATGCCTGTAAACTGGCGTCCCTCATGTACTGTACTATGAGAATAAATTTATTTATTTATTTATTTATTTATCTCCATTTCCTCCTGCCTATCTGTTTCACAATCGGTTCCTGGTTGGTTCGTTCCCAAAGATCCCTGTTGCTGATCTACTCTGGACATCTGATCTTGAGTATTGAGCAAAGACAACTGTTAATGAAGGTTTGTAGTTTGTTGGAGATGCTCTTTATGACGCGCTGGTCAAGTTTCTGGTCCGTAAAGTAGCACTGACTTCACATTGGAGTTGAAAATCCGGATCTTATTTTTGATGCTGAGTGTTGTTGACCCCCACACAGACTTGAGAGTAGTGAAAGCTTGTCTTGCTTTTCCGATCCTTGCTTTGATATCCTCGTCAGTTCCATTCGCCTGTAGTTGAAACGATGCTTCCCAGGTAGGTAAAGGAGGTTGTTTCTCCCATTTATGTTGATTGTTGTCAGTTGTTGTTGCTGTTGATGGTGTTGCCCAGGAATTTTCATCACCTCTGTTTTATCTATGTTCACCTGAAGTCCTATCTTTGATGCTTCTTCTGCTAACTTGTTGCTTTTCGCTTGCATATCTTCCAGTTTGTGGGAAATCAGACATATATCATCGGCGAAGTCCAGATCCTCCAAGTTTTTTGTGTGTGTCCATTTTATGCCTGTTTCCTCATTGCCCACTGTTTGTCGCATTATCCAGTCTACTGCAATCAGGAAAATCATTGGCGATAGTAGGCAGCCAGCTTGTCTTACTCCTGTCCTCACTTCGAAGGATTCCGTAAGTTTCGCGTTGTGGATTACTTGGCATGCAGCATTGTCGTATAGCTGTTGGATGAGATGTATAAATGTCGGTGGCACCCCGTAGTAGCGAAGTAGTTACCAAATCACCTCTCGACCGACGCTGTCTGTCGAAGGCCTTTTCAAAGTCGATGAAGTTGAGATAGAGATGTGACTGCCATTCCAGGCTTTGTTCAATGAGGATCCGTAATGTGGCGATCTGGTCAATGCATGACTTGTTCCTCCTGAATCCAGCCTGTTCCGGTCGAAGTTTTTCATCCAGGTCATGTTTGATTCTCTCCAGGATGATGCGGCTTAGTATTTTGCTTGGGATGGACAGGAGTATAATTCCGCGCCAGTTCTTGCATTGACTTAAGTCTCCTTTCTTTGGTAGTTTGAATAAGTATCTTTTCTTCCAATCCTCGGGTACTTTGCCTTCTTTCCACACTTTCTCCAGTAGTGGCGTCATCAAGTCCGCTGTTGTCTCTGGGTCCATTTTCAACGTTTCTGCTGGGATTCCATCTGGTCCTGCTGCTTTTCCAGCTTTTAGCATCTTGATTGCCTTCAGGACTTCTGATTTCGTCGGGGTGTTGGTGTTCACTGGTAGCTCTGTCTCCGTTGTTGGTATTGCTGGGCGCGTTGTAGGTGGTGATCGATTTAGGAGTCTTTTGAAGTGTTAAGCCCAGTGTTTCCTTTGCTCCACTTCTTTGGTGAGTGACTTTCCGTTGTCATCCTTCACCGGCTTGATTTGTGTCAAACGTTTGCCCGATAGGTACCTAGTAGTTTGGTAGAGTGTTGCGAGGTCTCCTTTGCCTGCAGCTTGTTTTGCTTCATTTGCCATGGTTTCATAGTACTTTCTTTTGTCTTCTCTGGCACTCTTCTTTACTCTTTTGTTCAGTGTCTTG